TAGATAGATAGATAGATAGATAGATAGATAGATAGATAGATAGATAGATAGATTGATTTAAATCGCCTGTCACCCCTATGGGTGGTATGTGTCTTCCTCAATCTTGGGTCCTGTACCAGAGGCCTGGGAGTTTGAGGGTTCTGTGCAGTATCTTAGCACTTCCTAGCACTGAACATTTGTGACAGAGAGCTCTGATGTTGTACCTGGGATCTGTTGGAGCTGCTCTCCCAGATTAGGAGTCACAGCCCTGACTGCTCCTACCACCACTGGAATCACTTTGGCCTTAACTCTCCACATCCTCTCTAGTTCCTTCTTCAGGCCCTGGCACTTCTCCACCTTCTCATACTTCTTTTTTCTGATGTTGCTGTCACTTGCCACCACCACATCTATCACCACTGCAGTCTTCTGATCCTTGTCTACTACCACAATGTCTGGTTGATTGATTGATATATACACACATTTTCTTACTGAACAGGAAAAGTTCATTAATGTTAGCTGAATGTTTCCAAGATTTGGGGAGAGCAGTTTTTTTAAATAAATATGGGACCTTAGGGCACTGAAAATAAATGGAAAAAGTATGAACTTTATTTGGAAAGTAATAAAACTGTGGAGGTTGTGTGTAAATATCATAAGCCTTTGCCTCTTTCAAATATACTAAACAACATCCTTGGGCCTGATCAATTGGACATTTAGCTTTATGGCTCTGTTTTTATATAAGATATAAAATCTACAAATAGAAGGGATACTTAGGGTGTGAGTCTATAATCTTTAACAAAGTATTCCAGGAATCCTAACATAGGACGGTCTCCCTCCCAAACACCTGCTTTTGGATGGAGAGATCCTGGTCTTTCATGCCACATTTTGGTCTTTCAAGCCACAATTTGGGCAGTTCTTGTCTCTTTGATACTAAAGCTATCACATTATTAGACATAAAAGAGAGGGAAGGCACTGCATATCTATAACCAACATAACTCAAAACTACTTCTGAAAACACTGCAATGGCAATCTAAATGTTTAGTTGATTCAGAGACCAAAGACAAATAAAAAACAGACAGTTGGAGGTTACTTAATTAGTACTTTCCTTCTGCCCAGAGTCCCCTGTTGTGGGGAGATGGGCGGGGACAAGTCAAACAAACAAACAAACCACAAACAAACAAATAAATAAATAAATAGAAAGGCCTTTAACAGTTTCTGGAAGGTTAAGAGTGAAACCAGGAGGTAGGTTCCTCTACCAAAAAAGCCTTCATAGAAATGCATCTCTAGATGGTGTGACATAAACAAGTAGCTTTAAGTGCAAGAAGGCATTGCTTCAGATATCCTGGATTCAGGAGGCTTTAGAGATTATGACCAGAACTGTCAGTTGGGACCCAGGGACGATTTGGAACACAGGGTAACCATTTAAATAATGGAGCCCCATATCATCTGGGCAATAAGAATGTTGCATTCTGGACTAATTAAAATTTCCAATGATTCTTCAAAGGCAGCCCATTGCAGAAGGCAATTCAGACTTATTATCATTAAGTTATCTGCCACCCGAGCTACATCTGGATTCTCCAGCAATGGATGTAATTGGCACATCAACCTCCATTATGAAAAGACACTCCTGGCCACAGTTAAGATTGGGAATTCAAGTTGGCTGTTGAGTTTAGAAGATCAACCAAGCACTTGTGTGTTTAAGAGACACAAAGCAGTCCAGTTTCATTCACTAATAGCACTAGACTCGGCTTTATTCTGTTGAAACTTCCCATTTCCCCAAAAAACAATTATATTTACAAATAATGATTGAAAACCTGCATAGCTTTTCTGGAACTGCCTATTAGGGCAGATAGAGCCTGATCTAATTGACATTAATGACACCAAACTCCACACCCAAATTACCTCCTATAATTGCTGCATATTGATGTTGAACATCATGAGGATGGAAACTTAGAACACAACAAGCAAGCATCCAATCATCCAGAAAGGACAGTATGTGCATGAATTGAGAAGAAGGGCAGGGGGAAGAGAGAACCTGACATGAGAGTAGATTCCACAGTGGACTCAGCCAGATCCTTGCACTAAATCAGAGAGAGTGAGAGACCAAATTAATGCCAGGTCAGAAACAAACAACTTGAGACTAACTAGTCTGCTAACAAA